CTAAGTCCTTGTTGGGCTGTCTGACCAGTAGTAGGAATGGTGATGTCATCTTGGGTTTCCCTGTTTCCTCCTCAATTTAGCTGCGATGTTAACACATTGACAGATGGAGGAAGTGTTTCCCCTTGAGAAAAGAAAATCCTAGGAAATCTTGAGCTTCTCACTCTCGCTCTCTCTTTATACAGGTACACACAGACATATGGATCAACACAACTAACTGCCTGTACTGAGGGGGACATGGCTGTGGCATCTAGCATGATCAGCACCAGTACTTCAGAATGTACCACAACATAGCTGGTGGCAGTGGAAGGTACGGTAATTTCTAAGAAGAAAGGTGCACAGGTTCAAGACAGAAAAAAATTAGAAAAAGTGAAAATTAGAAAATTTGCTTTGGATGGCTTTTTCTCAAATGCTTGCAGCCTGCCTGTTTCAACTTCAGAGGAAAGCAACCTTTTTAACATGCTTGGGAAGGAGAGTTTATTTTTATTGATGGGGTCTGAGTCTGACTAATTGGGCATATGTTAAAGGCTGGTAGGAAGAGCAGAAGAAAGAGGGGGATATAATCTTGCCCCCCGCCCCCAAAAAACAGTGAAGACTGTTGCTGATGTCGGTATCATTTTTTTTTTAATAGGAATGGAATCTGTGGCCTTGAGAAATCAGCTGTCGGGAAGTTATGTGGGTAGATATATTTGTTTCAGTAAGAAGGACCTCCACGGGGAAGTGACCCTGTGGCTGATGTGTGGGTGTTGTGGGAAAGAGGGTAAATGTAGCCAGATGCACAAATAGGATAAACCAAATCTCCTGGCTTAATAAAGGCTAAATTGTTACTACCTTTTTGCAGTTTCATTCCCACTTTGCCCTCGGATTTGCAGCCAGTCTGCAGAACCCATTAAGAGACTTCCCCAGAATCAAGGATATCAGTAGACATGTTAGTACCAAAGCAGACAGAGGAAAGTTTGGATGTCACTCCAAAGGAGGTGGAGTGAATTAAATCAAATATAGCAACACAAGATTAACACAAAATATGTGTTGCTATGGATAGTTCTGGTCATTTAAAATATGTTTATTCCATTTTAAAAAATGAATCCCATTTTAAATCAAGCTGTTAAATCTCTTAACCCAACGAAAAATTTTTATCTCATTAAGTTTCCACTAGTTTCAACAAGTCACACAGTAAGAGAGATTCTCTAGTTTAGTTTGCAGTAGGGATATTCTTGAGTGGCCAAAACCCTGTTGCTTAATTATAGTAAATTGCACTGGAATAGTCCCATTGAATCCATGGGGATTTAGTAAGTCATCTCCTCCTTAAGTTCCACTGATTCAAATGGGCCTACTTTAACTGCAAGTTTCCATGTTAAAGTGCCTTAGTATAATAAGTTGCAGTTTGAGCCTTTGACTCAATGGAACTTATGAGCTGACTTGCCAAATTTCTATGAATTAAATAGGCCCACTCTAGTGCAGTTTGCTATACTGAACAATAGGATTTTGGCCACTCTTTTAATCCAAAAACTGAATGAGAATGATATAAGTATTATGCACGTAAAACAGATGTGCATCTTTACATCAATTAAAAGACACTGCTATACAGTGGGGTCTCGACTTACGAACGCCCCGACATACGAACGTTTCGACTTACGAACTGCTCTCATAGGAATATATGGACTCGACTTACGAACTTAGATTCGAGTTACGAACTCTTTTTTTTCCCTTTTTTTAAAAGCTAAATCATCTTAGGTTAAAAGGAAAAAAGAAAAAATATCCCCCTCTAGTGGCAGAAGGTGGAATAGCAGCTTCCCATTAGTTTCTATGGACGAAAAGAGCAGATACGGATTAAATGGTTTTCAATGCATTCCTATGGGAAATGCAGATTCGACTTAAGAACTTTTCGACCTGAGAACTGCCTTCCAATACGGATTAAGTTCGTAAGTCGAGACCCCACTGTAGTATCTATTAACATATAGGACTTTATACGTGTGTTAAATAGCCATGATCCATATTTTATATATAAAAGATAGTTAATCCAAAGGATGCAACAAAGGTGAGACAAACCTAAGAATGACTGACCATTGATTAAAATGAGGCAAAATATGACAAGTTAAAAAGTTGTAAAAGGCCACTAAAAATAAGTGATACTTTGTGAATTGTTCCCATATATGTATTTACTTGTGTATTTTCCCTCTCAATTTTATTATACTGTTACTAGATCAAATAGTTTAACATTCTATTTGGACGTTTCCTTTATTTAACCCTAGTTCCTAAATTATAGAACTTCCAATCTATTTTCACTCTGAAGAAAAGAAAACATGTCTTTTCTTTTCTTTTTTTTTTTTAGACTGGCAAATGGTGTTTAACCTGAACCAGCTCATTCTTGGACGTGTGCTAAACTGTATGACTGGAGACACTCCAGGAATGCAACCAACACCTTCTTAATGAACAGCGATTTTCTGCCAGGAGTTAAGTTCCTTTATGTCAGGGTAACTTGGCAACAGGATTCTAGCCAATACATTGTTAGAAAACTAAGTACCTGTGCTACAGTGAAGTATTCTGAAGTTTGAGTGGGTCTGCTCACTATTCTATGACTATCAGATTATTTTAATACATTAGATGTGCTATGTGCATCTCTCCCACACTCTCTCTCAGTCTGGGACTTGGGAAAACTGGATTTAAGTGCCCGCTGAG